TCATCCCTTTTTAGACCGCGGATCTCCCGATCACTGGTAATGGTTCATTACATTTCCTTTTATCTTTTCTCTTACAAACAACTAGATTGTACCGAAAGGTTTTTCAATAAAACATTCAGTTGAACAATTCTAAAAGAAAAGAAGAAAATTTTCATTGTACCGTTCATATAAATAGCTTAGATCAAATATATATATATATAGCATCGAGAGGCAAAAAGCGACTTTAAAAATAATTTGACGCGTTCCTTTTCATAATGTATGAAAGTTTCAAATTTAGTACTGATAGTATCATAAACATAAATATTATCTAGATCTTATTGCCTTCTACCATTAAGTGAGATAAAATTGAAGCATTAATCCATCTTAAATTAGGATTATTCTCCATAAAAAAATTACCTCAATTGTAGCAAAACCAAGCATTTTGATTCAATGCAAGGCTAAGCTAAGCTAATAAACTGATTTCAATAAAATTTCTGTTAAATTCTGAGACCAATCTATATATACGTATAGATAAAAAAAGAATTTACCAAATCAGTTTACAACTCATGGAGTTATGGGGTTACAAATATAAAAAAAATATCCGATTTGAAACCTCCTTGTTTATTTATTTATTTACACTTTATTGCACCATTTATAAAATAGTAAATACATTTAACTGTAATAAGAAATGATACAAAAAGCGGCCTTATCACTCGCTAAGCAATCTCTTCCAGACAAACTTCTCCTCTAAAATCCTTTTATTTTAAGTCGATTGAAGAAGTAAATCAATGAAGCTTTGTTTTGTCATTTTCAAGATTAATGTTATTTTGAAGGCACATTTTCTATATAACTTGCTAATAGAATGGCAAACAAAGTGAATTAAAAAGCAGTAATTGCTTATACATGTCAACAGAACCATGAATATTACACTATATGCTGTGTTTCCATGACATTCCTCATTTGTTGCGTCCTGCATTGTCATTAAAAAAACTCAGGGCATTAAGGCATTATAACTCTATGTCTATATAAATGTATTATAGGTATAGAGTTACTTAGTTGCTTGTACTGAAAATCGCGTTCTTAAAAAAGAAAGTTTGGCTTGATTTTTTTGCAGTTTTTTAGAGAGATGCTACTTGTAGACTCTTACAAGCTTCTATTTAGTATGCAATGTACCTATTTTAGTTTGTTTACGTTCAATATTGCAAGCTGAATTACTAGTTCGTACTAAACGATTTCGTTGTAATTTTGCAGATATTGCAAGTTCCATTGATAATAGAATATGCAATATTCAATATTGTAATAGAAGAATAATTATTTCAATTTAACTTTGTATATATAAATAAATAAAATACTCTTGGATTTATTACTTTTAAATTTATATGTTTATTTTTACCCATATCTGTATTTTGTTTATGCAACTTAGAATGGCAAACAAGTTGACGACCCACCTGATGGAAATCGTCCTCTATAGACATGAACAGTACCATGGACATAACAGAGTATACTGTTTCGCCCATGATACCCCTCATGCGTTGCCATTCCTGAGGACTTAGGTGTTATTTCTCTGTACCCTCTAAATTCACGCCATATCCCACCCTTCAAACTGAAACACAGCTATTCAAAAACAACTGCTTTACGGTAGAAACAGGAATGGAACAGAAGTGCTCAAGCAACGACTTTTATACAAAGTCTTCCTCTGGTGATATACATGTGTAACGGGAAATTTAATGAACTCACTGTGTTTTTGTCGTTTCCGACAATTGTTTTGGTATAGAATGGGTCAGCCGTTGCTATCCCGTGGGTGTTAAGAGGCGACTGAGAGAACTTAATGATCGACGCATGGGCAACAGCGTCCCTCTTAAAACATCACTAAAGACTCTTGTTGCTAACCAGCCTGCCAGGCGTGGCAGTAACTGGTATAACACCTCTTATGGTGAAGGTCTATATTCAGCAGTGAAGAGTTAACGGCTGATATGATGATGATAAAATATAAAAAGAAACCGAATTGACAACTTTCTTCTTTTTGTAGCTGGTTTAAAATTATGAAAAACTAATTATGTCTCAGATGTTGTTGTAGACGACTGTAAAGCCACAGGCAGTCAAAACCGCTCAGGATTTGCTGGAAGTGAACTCTTACAGAGTAATGTTCGCCTGTTGTATATCTTTATTAAAAATAAATAGCAATGTAATTTTTGTGTACAGTAAAGTAAAAAATACATAAATAAATAAGACAAAATGTACAGGAGTTATTCTGGTTGGGATTAGATCTATAGGATCCACAACAATTCCACTTAATCAACACAAACAAGGTTTAAGTTGGCAACGCATTATCGCGACGCCAATAATGTTTTTGTTGTGAACACAACATTCTCCAAAATCCTACTCCTTGTTATTTTCACGGCAGAGTAACCGGATTCCATTAATGTGTACTAACGACCGGACGCACTTCGGATTGGGCTTTAAAAGGGTTGAGTGGTTTTGTACAATCGTTCTGATAAAAGGGATGGATGTTAAAGCTTTTAGCGATTTAAAGATGTCCCAATGAAGGATTAATTTTTCCGTCATCGATCTAATAAGATTCTTTGGTAATGTTACGTACCGCTTTGACATGATGTTACTCGCTTATCTACCAACCTATAGTGCAAAATACCTACATCGAAATTAAGAAATAAATTTATTCATCTTCGTTGAACAATAAAATACGATACGAAAGTAGGCTTAATATTAATGGTATATCGGACAAACTTTGGAGAGTGCGAAGGTGCTTGTATATATAAAAAAAACATATTACATTCTTATTAATATTATAAATGTGAAAGTGTGTTTGCTTGTTTGTTAACTTATAGCGCCTCAACGGCTTAACCAATCACTATGAAACTTCGGATACACGTACTATATGGGACGGAGAAATATATAGACTACTTTTCAGTAGCTCGTAAAAATTTGTTGTTATTATATCAGCTATTAACTGTCCACTGCTGAACATAACCTCTCCCATAAGGCGGGATTTTATCAGTAGTTGCCATGCTTAACAGGCGAGATGGCAACTGCAGTTTTGATTTTTGGTGATGTTTTAAGAAGGACGCTGCTGCCCATCTTTCTACTATAATCTCCCTAAATCGCTTCTAACGACACCAACGGAAAATGAAGGCGTAGCCTATTCTATGTCGGGACTTATACGGCTAAAAGCTAGTACATCAATAAAAGTAATTCATAGATTCATATTCTAGAGATACTATAAACATACTATATGTATATTATTATGATTATAATGTGATAACTTAAAAGATACACAGATGGAAAGGAAGGAGGGTACACTAAGTACACAGATGTTATAACTTTATATGATATGAAATTATATATATATATATATATATATATATATATATATATATATATATATATATATATATATATATATATATATATATATATATCCTAATTAAATAAATTAAATTTTTATCACACTGATAGACAGATAAAATGATGTACAAGTGTTATTGATGATGAAATTCGTTCAAGGCATTTGTGATGAGAGATCATAACTTGAGCTAGGTCAATATAAGTAAAAATAACATGAAATCTATACGCGTGACGGGGTTCTCTCTATACCTTCTTTCAACGGAATGCGAGTGACAAATGTTCCCAAGTCCAAAGTTAGAATAACCCAGCGACACGGAATTAACCCCTGTCCTTGACTCAACACCCAATGTCATTTTCCACTGAGTTATTGCTTCTTTAAAATAAAGTGAAATGAAAGTTGATTAAGACTTATGCTTTATTTTCGTCTTTTTTTTTAATTATTACGGCATTTTTGTTTTTAAAACTTATGTTCATTTTTTAATAAGTACAATGTCTATATAATGGGAACCATATATACATATATAATGGGAAATTAATGAACTCGCATTGTTTGCTGTTTCCGATAATAGTTTCAACTTAATTCGGAAGTCTTTGTTGTGAAGATAAAACATAAAGTAACTTGTAGTATTCTGACGGAAAAAAAAAAATTGGTAATTTTATAGCGATTACTTGAGCTATTAAGGCACTAAAAAGTAAAAAAAAAAAACTCAAATACATTTATAATATTAATAAATAATAACAATTATTGGATAAATGTTTAGGAATATTTATTTATTTTATTTATTAAAACTTTATGATCATCAACATCACCTCAGTCATTAGCTGTCCACTGCTGGACATAGGCCTCTCCCATAGAGTGCCATAAAGAACAGTCCTGAACCACCTGTATCCACTGACTCCCTGCAATGCATTTGAGGTCGTCACTCCAAATAGCGGGGGGTCGTCCTACACTGCGATTACCCGTCCAAGGTCGCCAATACAATTTATAGAAGATCATCCTAAAGACTGTCGCGGAGGAAGAGATGCACGATGGAGAAGATACGCAATGATTAAGATGATATAGATGTATTTTGTCTCCCTAATAGTGTTGATGATGGGGCTTTTATTGGATAAACTCCATCAGTGAGAAGTTTTAGAAGTATTACATTCATATATAAGTTAGATACGGTATGTATAATATAGATATAACTTATTTTATAGAAAAATTGTTAGCGTGAAATATATAAAATTGACAGTAATTTTAGATATTACACACCTCGTGCAAGTTTGGATATATTTGTTTAAAAGTTGTACAACAGTGCGAGAATACGGGAAAATTTGTATTCATGTATTGAAGAGTCGTTCTTGACACTTTTTGAAACAATAATGTTTCCATCTTCTTATCCAAAACAAAAGCACCCCGAAGTTTAACAGGAAAATAATACATTCCCTAATGCTTTTCGACTGGCGGTGTCTTTGCGTACGCATTTATTCCCGTACTCGACGATTCCCTCGAGTGGCATCCATCAAAACAAAACTAAAAACTAACTTATGAATATTCTGTAGTGCAGTGCTAGTACATAAGCTAGGCACCGTCAATCGCATCTGAGCATGCGCAGTGTCACTTTTAACGCGGGCTTGCGTGCGGACTTCAGTAATTGGCCACACGCCGTCCGGCCCGAACCGGCTGCAACCGGATTTTTCTGGGTTTTCCCGCTCGGTAAGAATCGTGCGCGCGTGTCACCTGTCATCCGATTACGTTAATGGTGAAGATTAATACACCCTGTATATAAATTATGACTCAAATCTAATAGAATACTCTTAATGGAACTTTAATCAAAGTGAGTGTAAGTACTGTTTAATATACTTGGCTAGAAGTTGTTCTAATGTACATAATAATTGTGTGTAACTTAAAAATTCACAAACAATTAATGAATGTATAGTTTCAACTTTTGAATAGCTACTCACATGTGTGTTTTAGTGTATATGATGATGTGTGGATTGTTTAATATCGGTAAGTAGTTTAAATAAAATATTTATTTATTTAAGCCGGATATTTTAAAATTATACGCACTAATGTAAATCTGGTACTTATTAATAATCAATATGATTGAAGTTAACAAACCTCATCATAACATCAACTGATTAGGATTTTGACAAGTTTTTCTTCATTTATCTTTTATTAAACTTATTTCTATTTGAGGTGGATAAAATAAAATAGATAACTACTTATAAGATTTTATATCTATATTATCATCTTATATTTTTTTCTTATTGTTTTTATTTTTATTCACGCGTGATTCTCAGTATAAACACAATAATTGCACATTTACGATGGTAATAATTTTATAGAAATTCACGCCTTCTTTTTAGTTCAACATTTTTTTGAGGTATAGGCAATAAAATGTTACATAATTTTTTATGAATCTATAACGTAATACTAATTAGTTTTCTAGTTGGTACATAATGAAAATAATATTAAGGAGCAATTACCTAAATGCAGTAACATTTCACATGTGATTGAACAATTTTCTTGAGGGTCAGAATACGAAAGTAACTTATATGAAACTTTCATCAAACCGGTTATAATAATTAAAATGATTTGTTTCAATTGAAATTTTTTAAGCATATTTTCACACTAGTTCTACACGTGACTTTTCTCAGGTTTCTAAACGAACATATCACTGGACTGAATGAAAAGTCCTTCTCTAAGTGAAATCCAATTTATTTATTTAATGACAATTTATTTAATGACAAGTTGGACTAAATAATACTTTTTGAATTTGTAATAACATTTCCTTGGCCTTCGTGTGAGGTAGAAATAATAATATAATTTTTTTTTAATGACAATTAATCAAGTGGTTAAGATGTTAAGGCTCAAATAAACGGATAAGGTCTTCCAAATATATAAGGATGATATTAAAATATATTGATATATTTTTTATAATCTATACAGTTTTTATTTTCTGGTAATTGTAAACTATTAATAGTATTTATTATAAGGCAAAATTTACATATAGACGCATGATTTTGCGTTCAAATTTGGCGTTATAAATACAGATATTTTTAATTTTATGCTTATTATATATATATTATATCAGTCGTTAATTGTCCACTACTGATCATAGGTCTTCCTTGTTAAAAGAGGTTTGCTAGCAGGCGGATTTAATTTTAATAAGTTTAAGTTTAATAAAAATAAGAATATTTATTAAAAGTATCACAATAAGATTAAGTTTAATAATAATAATTCATTAACAATATTTATTGAAAGTATCACAATATTTGATTAGGGCTTTTATCATTATGAGTTTATGAGTTGGGCAAGTATTTATAGTGTATCTTACGAGTTGCAAAAGGTCCGTAATAAAATGTTTTGTGAATAATGCCAGCAACTTGGCTAAATTCCGAGGAATTTGGAATAACCCGAGGGTTATTTAGCGGGTCTTGATAAAAATGGTGGAGCGTGGACTCGTTATATTAAAGTTTAGGAATTTAGTACACTGAATATTTTGAGTTATTAATAAATGCTTTGATGTAAATGAAATAATAATCATCGCAGATTAATTGTTTAAAGAAGTTGAAGTAAATTATATTTAGGTATATAATAGAATAGAATAGAATAGAATAGAAATCATTTATTCAAATAAACTTACATTGAAGCACTTTTGAAAAGTCATTACATTTTTTTTAATTTACCGCTCGTTGAGCTGTCTCATCACAAGAAGAACGAGCAAGAAAGTGATGCTCTTTTAAATAATTTTATTATTATTTTACATTTTTAAGTTTAATTGTGTGAATACAAACCACCAATTAGCACTAATTCAATTAAATACTCCAAAAGAAAAAAAAAATTGAATACATAACCAACTGGTTAAACAATTAATAAGAGGAAATCAGTCATAGTGATTAGAGCAGACCAGTCCCTACAAGCAGCACCCGTTCACGAGTATGACGGATGAGCCAGCCATCACTGCGCTCGACCATATTTTAGGGAGCCCAATGACCCGGCCCACCACGCCGCCACAAGTCTGGACATTTTAGTGAGCATGACTACTCAAAACACTGACCATAAAAATCACAATTGCCATCTGATAGTTATAGTATTCACATTTTACATAAGAATGCATGCGGACTACGCTTTCATATAAAATTAATCAATTAAATCAAGAAAGCAATGAGAAAATAAAATTATAACGTTGTATGCTAATAAACTAATTATTTTTGATATGTTGTCATTAATAAATGCTATTGTAATGCTTTCTTACATAAAAATGTTTAATATAATTTAATTGCCTCTCTGTCAGATTTAATGCAGATTCCGGTTTATTATAAAATCTTATGCAATTTAGAATGAATTACTGATTTTGTGCAGACGGCATTTAGGTAAAATAAATTTATATTTAAGTTTCTACTTGTATATAATAGTTCTTTGTATACATAATATTTTCATAAATGTATTGTGAAGTAACTGTGAGGATATTTGAGTCTTTAAAGCACTGACGTAATGACTCTCTTGAACCCATACCATAAATAGAACGTATGGCTCTCTTTTGTAAAACAAATATAGTATTTATATCGGCTGTTTTACCCCACAGCAGTATGCCATAAGACATTATGCTATGGAAATAACTAAAATATTTTTCGCCACGTCTGTTAATTGCCTAATTCTTCTAATTGCATATGCAGCAGAACTGAGTCTACAATATGGGGCCCCCATTGTAATTTCGAGTCCACTGTTATACCTAAAAAAACTGTATAATTAACAAAATTTACTATTTAGTCATTAAGCAATAACTGTGTATTTATTAGTCTAACATTAGGAAGTGTAAATTTTATACACTTTGTTTTGCTGGAATTTAATAATAGGTTATTACTGTCAATTTAATATTGCAGACATATTTAGCAAAAAATACCTTTTTAGTTTGTTATAACGTTTTTATTAATGAACATATACATAACAATATGAAACTGCTTAAGACACAATATCGCGTATTCTAAATTTAAATATTTATAACGAATGAAGATGCAGTTATTTTTTGAAACGAATTTGCTGTCACTTTAATGTTATTAAAAAAATATCTATAGTTTATTAATGGAATTCAGAAATAAGACCACGAGAAATAAAGCAATAAAAAAGTTTATATATACTCTGCACTCAGAATTGACATACAGTTATTAGAATCTTCAAATTATCTTCCGCTGAACATTAGTATGATTTACCAGTGGTTGTAAGGCTATTTTTCGTTTCAAATTAAATGACGCTCACATTACATGGCATGGAGGTATAACACGGCCTTTGGCCCTGAGGACGAGGATTATAATGTGGGCAAAGATGGGCTGCCAGTTTGATAGTCATTTCAAGATTTGTAAAAAATATGCTAATCTTGAAAAATATCTTTAGATAAATAAATTGTATATAGGTAGATAGCAACACTATATATAACGATTCTAAGTAGATATCTTTAACATAAATTACTGTTTATATACGAGGCAAGATGGCCCACAGCAATTCCTGTAAATCTTTCCTTGGGGCTTAGTTTATTTCACCTCTTACGAAAAACGTTGGGTGGAGTACGGAAAAACCAGTAGATGCCGACAACAACAAACGGTTGTTTTTACTCCTTTAAGCCTTTGACTGACCTGTGCCTTGAGCGTTTTGGATTCCAAGATATCTGGCCGCCCAGCACTATATAATGTAAGAATATTTTTTTAATAAAAATTAAAAGAAGGTTTTGATTCGTAAAAAACTTATAAAAAAAATTGAAATAATTTAAAAATAAGTTGCAAGATAAATGTTTTATTAAATATTTGAATTTAGAACATATAATTGTGTGCTTTCTAATAGACAGATTTTGTTCCGTTACAAGCAGTATTTTGCTACATAAATTTAAACAATATTTCAAGACAAAATAATACGTGTTAGGAAAGCCCATGGATTGCAAATATAATTACATAAAATCTGTTCAGAAGATATCGTATATTACAATTACACAGAGACAATAAGTACAGATGAGTTAAGAAACTCTTCCTTTTGGAAATGGGTTAAAATAAATGTAGTTAGGTTCCTAAAATATTATAGCTAACCTTGTTAACAGAACTCTACAAGTTATTTTTCTGTATTCACAGCATGTTTACATTATATTAGCATTATAGTTACAAATTTTAACAATAATCCGTGAAAGACAAAGATTCGTTTTAGTGGCTATTATTTTTAGGGTTCTATTGAAGAAAAAGCAAATAGAACTGACGTTGGTGAAGTAAATAGATTGTTTTATCAGTATTATTTTCTATGAAATTTTAATATTTTAAATTAAAATATATATACATAGTTAGAGGTTCTTGTTGTTAAAATTGTAACATATATTTATTCCGTCTCTGTTTGTTATTTTAATGTATTTTTTAAAGGATTACTTAACTTTTTTAATAAATAATATAATATTTACGCAGGCGAGGTACCAGTGAGAGATAGATGAAAATGAAAAGGCAGGTTAGTTAGCCCATCGTGATGAATGAACCCGGAATTCAGCACGATAGTTTCCAGGGGGACCCACTTGAAGGTCGACCTGCCAGGATATATTGCTAGCAATAGGACTGGTAGTCTGCATTACTAACAATCCCTTAATCACCTTATCTTAGTCTTCAAGAATGGCATCATGAGTATACTCTGTTATGTTCACGGTACTGGTGCAGTCTATAGGTGACGGTTACCCCATTCCATCAGGTGGGCCGTCAGCTCGTTTGCTATTCTAAGTTGCATAAAAAAAACATACTGTAGGTAATAATATCTACTGGTTTAGAATTTCAAGTTATATAAAACTCTTTTTATCCCTTGTTTCACTGATGAAACTTTACGTTTACTGTTGGCAAATACTCTAGAAATGTAAATATCATCCAAGTATTTTTCTCGAAAATTAAACACTATTAAAAAACTATTTAGAATTTCTGCTACGCAATCTAACTTTGTCTTTGTTATAATGAAACGGTTTTTAAAATATTCTCGCTCGAATGATTCCA